TGTCAAAATAAATCCAAACCTATATGACTGGAGCATGTGTGAGTTTACTTTGAAAGGACAGACACAGGAAGTGTCCACGCTCAGCAGTCAGACAGGAGTCAGGTTAATCTCCAGGGCTGGTACCTGCGGTTATTCCACAGGCTAGTTAATAAAATGTCGGGCAGGAAATCCAAAGTGTGGGATCATTTTGAGAAGATGAAGGACGAACCCAAGGTGATATGTAAACTCATCTTCATTGGTCGACTACAAACATGACGTATCATCTGAAACATGGAAGTAGCTACATGCCCATTAGCCCACAGCTTTATATTGCTTTTAGGTGGACTATACCACATGACGGCTACATCCACAGTTTGATTTCCAGCTGTAGACCTGTGTTGCATTTCCCCTCTCTCTACCCTCTTCTTCCGTCTGTGTCTGTATGAATTGTCAAATAAAGGCAAAGTGCCAAAAAATAAATCAAAGTTTATGTTCAGCTAATCTAAAATCAAGGCTACAGATGACCAAATCTGCCAACAAGAGTTGTTATTTCACAAAACTCACCAGCTAGAATTGAGACACTGAGGATTTAAATGGTAAATCTGCCACTGTTTTCAATGTAAACTGCATTATGTCCCAGTATGAGAGAGGTAAGGTTGACTGGCTTAGAGGATGGTCAGCTGTCAATAAACCAAATCTGAACTGAGAGTCGTCTGTGTTTACACACTGACTTGCCTCCTATTGAAGCTCATTTTGCAGCTCAGGTATCAATAATCTTGTCAACCATCAAGTATTTGTAGAAATAATTTGCACCATCTCCTACGGACTGATTGGAGGTCATTGGATTTCAGAATATCATAAAAACATTTTGACAACTCTAAACATGCGTCCGTGTGTCATATTAATAAAAGAGGTAATCATCTGTAAACACATTTATATTCTCGATCTTTTGATTTCTTTTGTACTAAAAATGAAAGTGTAAAAATATGGTAATTTTGTTCACCAGTAAATGTGGATTTGAAAACTGGTATTTATGTTTGGTTCAGAAAAATCTGTGATCAGTCTTAAAGAATATTTTCTCTTATATAACAGAATCAATACAAAATCACAGCTTTAAATGCGTTTTGACATAAACTATTCATTATTTATCACCACAATTAAAATATACATCAAATTTACTTGTTGATCTGATTAAATCACTTAATTTAATGTAATTTACTAGAAACACAAGTGTCCCTGAAAAAATTTCAACCCATTACTTCAAAATTTTACATTAGTACCTCAAAATGTGTGTGCTTAAAAACATGTGAACTTTAAACATCTATCAACATGGAAAACCTGTAGAAATCAGTTTTAGCTTTTTGCCCACGATACAAATCAGTTAAGTTAATCAATCAATAAATATTGAGGGTGATGTAGCATGCTGAGCTGT